CTAAATGAAAGCGGCCTTACATGCTGTGAGGAACAAAACATTTTGCAGTAAGATAGCAACAACTCTAATAAAGGCTTCAGCCCGGAGTCACGAGAGCACTGATTTATTCTTTTCTCTTTTTTTTGAGCAATTGAAAACAGCTTATTCCATCACACTACAGCTGAAACAATAATGTTGTGCGGATTAACTTTCTGTACCAAATGATATGAAACACCCACAACCATCGGATGTAAATAGAAATAATTGAAACGGGCTTATTCCATCACATTATGTCTGAAACAATTAATAACGTTGTTCAGATCAATTTTCTGTGCGAAATGACGTGAAGCTCCCACAGCCGGTGGATTTGAATAGAGAAATAAATTGGACCCACTAATAGAATGACAATTAATAATAAAATAAAATTGGTGAAAAGAGTTAATCACTGTAACATTCTTGACATTGGAAAAGGGAATCTAGATGAGCATCAAAAACAAAATTTCTATTAATTCTACTCTTATGAACTGGAATTCAAATTTTAAATATTTTAGTCCTAACATAGATGGTCTGTCTTTGATCAGACGGGAAAGAGAATTAATCAAGATGCACGTAAATTGACTTGTACATTTTTTACCGTTGAACTAAAAAAAAAAATAAAAAAATCAACTAGCCTTTTTTAAGTCTCACTCAATGACACATACATCCACCGTCGAAGATGTTTTTCACCTGAACAACGTCATCAATATTTCAACTTCCGAACAAAAAAAAAATAATTTCATAAATATATTTCACTGTTTTTCTCTTTCTTTCCCTCCTACTTCTCGAAATGTTCAAATCCTATCAAACTATATAATAAAATCAAAGATTAGGAAAATCTAGGACTAACTGGAGATATATTTCATGCTAATAGAGTCATGCACCTATTTGAGTGGAATCGTTTGATGTGTAGCACTACCGAGGACACCACTTTACGAGATATGGGTCTGAACGACCCAAGAGCACGCCACTAGAACCCAACCCTTAAGGGGGTTAAGCTCCAAGGGCACATCACTAAAACAGTTTCCTTACCCAAGGCTCTGCTTTCACACGACCATAAATCATCAGAAGAAGAAATGATTAAAGAAATTGGAACACAGACAACATTGATTAAGCACAGTTTAAGCTTCTAAATGATTTCTAACTAAGCACAAAAATAGTGGTCACTTATCAAGCATAACACTTTAAATCTCTACTTCTGCAATGCATGCAGACCCATAAACCCATCAAAGGCCAAAATGTGAGTAGGCTGACTCCACTGATTTACGAGAAAATAAACATGTAGTTCAATGAAATAAATCTCTCAAAACCTCTGGAAATTCTAGCAGAGAATATGCAGATTTGTACTTGTGGAGGAAGTGGGAGAGCAATAACAAATATCTTCAAAAGAATGATGGGGATTTGTCAAGAATCTCAAGTAGGACAATAAGATAAATAGGAGATGAAATTGAATGTGATGAATTGTGTCATGAACATAAAGAAGTTCTGACAAAGACTAGGTAGACCTGTAGGTTATCTTCCAAATGAGTCGTAGTATGCAAATTATAACTAGATGACCCATAAACTGAAAACGAACTAGAATTCATATAGCTACAGGGTCTCTCCTCACAAAATCTGTAAACGCCTAGTCTCATCTCTATTGTTACATCAGTGGGATTCCTCATAATAGAACAGACGCATGCATGTTTGACATTCTATCTTTTGATAAGTTCACAAGCTTCAAGAGCACCAGGATAGACAGGTGATGCAACTTCTTTGTATCATGAGGAAAATCCCATGATACAATTAAAACAACAGACCGAAATACTTATCACACAGATTGTAGGGTTTGTGCTTCCAATGCTTCTTGTAGGCACCTCGCAGCACCATCATAGTTTAGAAACCCCATGTACCAAAATTCATGGCTATCAACAGAGATAATCTGGATGTATTTTTCAGCAGAATTAGTTCTGCTTGATGAAGGATTTACTGCTTTAAGCTGATGTAAAGGAATGACCACCTATTTACATCATAGAGAAAGCAGACAGTTAGGTTTTTACAAATATTGCAGAATAGTTTGAGATGATTTATAAATCACATATTAGATGAAGACAGATCCAACAAGAAATAGTTCCCAAAACAATAATCAATCCTGATACAGATCTATAACAATACACTAATTTATTGGGAAAAGTGACCATTGCATATTCGTGGCAGTGCTAAAAGAAATTATTGATTTTTGTGGAAGTTTCATTTGCTCCTTCAATAAAATAAGCAACTACCAAAAAACTTCTTATAGGTACTTCGACCTCAGGTAATTCTAGTAACTGCACAAGCAGAAAACATCTATTGACGGAAAATCATTAAAATGATGAAAACTACATTCCAGAAATCACAGATTTTACAGTCCTTGTTTCTTAATAACAGCCATACAGGAGGAGAGTGCATACAGGAGGTTCTCAACTATATGACCATCAGGTCCGTGAAACTACGTACCAAACTACTTTCTTAGACCAAGGCTCAACGCCCAACAGCCCTAACCCCTTAGCAGTGGCAATTTCCTCAACGGTAAAATTGATATAGCATGGAAGGAGATGTTTGAAAAAAGCACTGGTCACCCATGAGCTAGCTATTTGGATGTTCCCATTGTATTCAATAGGGAATACTTAGTAGAGTAATGAATAGTTCAGTCTGGATCACTGACGACAGTGGCAAAGAAACTGTCAACCAGGGTCTCACGTATTTAACCTTGGCCAAAAAGCTGAAGAGTTGTAAATCTGGGATAAAGAGTCTAGTAAGAGCTATTTTGGTGACGTGAAACTCAAAGTCGCAGAAGCTAAATTCAGAGATCGCTAAGATTCAGAGTGAGCCTATTTCAGCAGAATCCAAGTTCTTGAAACAAAAACTGATTGATGACCTAAGCAAGCAATGGGATCTAAAGGAGAGGTCCTGGCACCATAGTTCTCGAGTGAAATGACTGAACTGTGGAGATCATCATCTACAAATTGCTTCCTCTTAATGATCATCTAGAGACAACAAAGAAATAAGGTGGATAAATTATAAAATAATCAGGGTAATTCGCATGATGGTCAAAAGAAGTGTACAAGATAATTGTTGGCGACTTTAAAGACCACTTCAGATGCAACCCACCCAGAGATGTTGATAATATGTTGGCAAACACACAGGCCTTCTCATGGATGACATGAATATAGCTCTTTGTCGGCCAGCATCTAACAAAAAAATTAAAAATATCTCCCAAGTACCAGATCCAGATGGATATTCCGGGATATTATATCATTAAAATTGGGGGACTACGACATCAGTTGTGATAAAGCAGCAAAAGCATTCTCCCATGACGATTACATGCTGAGAGAATCAAACCATGCTAATATCATCCTAATAATTCTACTTTCAGAATAAGTTTCTTTATCCCTTTTGTATACTATGGATAAAATACTCTTCTGAGAACATTAGCAAGCAATGACTAAGAAATGGCAAAAGTATCAAGCATCAGTCAAAAATTTTCAGGTTAAAACACAAACATATGCTACAACCATTAGGAAAGACAATCAGTGATCTCCATTTAATATACAGATTAAAAAGAAAAAGAAATTTAAGAAATCGATGTGTGGAAGCTAGTTTCCAGGCTAGAGGAGCAAGGGTAGAATGATTTGAGGCCATTGTGTTTGTGTTGGTGTATATGGCATCAGAGGAATTCTGGAGAGCCTTTGATGTGGTGGAAAAAGCAGTTTTGACTACTGTGTTATTGCGGATAGTGGAGTCATACGAGCGATCTTTTGAAAACTCTAGATTTTTTGGATTTGATGTATTTATGGTACAACACTGGTCTGTTTTCATCAGTACAATGAATTGAGATGGGTCCCCCCAGGTGATGCTTCTTTAATAAAAGAGTTGTTTACTATTTGAAAAGATTGAGGAAGGGATACGTTCCTAAAACCCAACACCTGAGCACAAATCATTCTAATGGTCTGGGAGCATTATATCAAGAGTCATTCCCCATTAACCAAGAGTAACAAGCTTCGACCTCACCTTTAAATGAAATGGAAATATTTTTGCTGTTTTGAAATTAACCCCACAACCGAACACCAGAATAGAAAGTTAATAGCAACAACAATAGTTAGCTACAAGGAACAGAGCCAAGATTTTATTTTAGAGGGGAAAAAATATGAATGGAAAAATTAACCAATTGGTATAAAAAAAAATAGACCTCCACTAATGAGGACTGAATTGGGTGTTATTTTCATGCAAAAAAAATTAAGTTGTTACAGTATAAGAAATCTATTAAGATCCAAGACTTAATTACTAGGTAAAAATTAAAACCCATATGAATTCGACAATAACAAAATATGAAAAAATAAAGACAATAAATTTATCATAGTACATTTAAACTCAATCACATATTAAGGTGGAACATTATAATGTTGTTACCAATCTAAAGAATCATCTCTATTTAATCAATTTAATAATAAAAACTTATAGGCAATTTCCTTTTAATCTAATCATAGATTTTGTTTTTTTTTTTAGAAGAGCATAGTCACTTCTGGATTAGTACATTTTACGATTTACATCTATTTGAGAGTTATTAAGTTACGATCCACTAATTTACTAAAAAGAACGAGGGGGCAACTATTCAATGATTTTTTAAAAAATAAATGTATTATCTAAACATAGGTATCGTCTGTAGTAAATATATATGAGTGGGCAACTAACTCCGTGTTAAAAAAAAAGACCACTACCGCATAAAAAACTAAAGGAATCAGGCCGTGTATAAATTTTGAAGAACTTAAAGCAGCAATATGATATGCACTACTTATAGTTTTGTTACTTCAGCAATACATATGGACAACTCCTCCAAATTCAGTGGGGGCAACTACCCCCACACCAGTACACATAGCTTCGCCCCTGTTAGCTACCCTCAGATAGAATCATCAGGCGACAGACTCACAGAGAAGAAGTAATAAATACCACACCCAACTATGGAGTCTCAAAGAAAAAATAGATAAAAGGTCCACACAATAAATAACAAGATTAACAGACTTGAGGTCCAGTCATTTGCCTCTAGTTGTTAGCCATGGGTCTATGCTAAGGCCTAGTATATGGTCATTCAAATCGGTTCAAATGGCTCAACAAGGATATTAAAGATTAAAAGTCAATATATTCCAATAAGGAATAGATGCGACAACACTGTTATCCATATCATTAACTACTAATCACTATTATACTTCATTCTCATGGCTTGCAATGGAACATAGAATCTTGTCTAAATACTGCTGCATTATAGGCAGAAAAGCTCATCTGCATACCTTATAATAGCTCCATTCAGTCTTGTTATCAGTTTTATATGAAAGAGGATTGTCGCTACAAAATGCAAGCTTTGCGGTAGACACATATAAAATCCCCATGACTGGACCAGCTGATGTGGACAAGTAACATGCGTATGAGTTTTGAAGTTGTTCCTCTGGAACAGTCTCAAATGTTTGTCGAAAAATCTTTTCATAACCACCTTCTGCCAGAACTTTTGTTCCCTGTGCAATTCTTCCCAAGGCAGCATCAGCCAAACTAGGGCCCGTTTTCACTAATATATAAGACAAGAGTCAACAATTTTATAATTGCATAAATCCAAACAAGGGCATGAAAAAGAATAAGATAACAGAAATATCATAACTTTCCCGTACATGAATAGTAGAAAAGATCAAGAAAACAAATTTCGATGTTCCATTATAACTGCAAAGTGAAATCCAATGAAAATGTATTTTGATGGCTCAAACCACAACTGGAGAAGAATATCTTGCAGCAAGAACTGAAACCCTCTGTAGAACACCCGCCCACATACAAGTAGTACAACTTACAAAGGAAAAACCTTATTTTTCTACTAACACTGCATAAACAACAAATTTTCCATTAGACACTTTGTACTTCACGTATATGGTACAATCTGAGATATGGTTATGTACCGATTACAATTCCTAAGTATTAATAGTGGCATCACTTTCACACCCAATGGAATTATATTGATGTGTTCTTTCATGGCGGTATCCAACTTCTTAGACTTGTAGGTTCTCATATTCCTTTCATTTTGTGTCCTGTTGCTTCTGTGTCTGGTGCCCATTTCTGCTCCACATGGAAGTTACAGGTCAGGTGACCAAATCTTTGTTTGTATTACGGTCCCCAATATGACTGCACCACCATTGCCAGCATAACCACCGTCATCATAAATTAGCACCACTATTAACTTGACTAAACTCCATTACCAAAATCATCCCTATCAGCACCACTAATGATAAATCCATACTGCCAAGATTCCTTCCATTTTCTAGAAGTGCAAAGTAATAAAAGAATATAATACCAACTTTAAATTGCAAGACTCCACTTATTAATTAAATACAAAGTCAAATTTTGGATTCAAGTCCATGAAATATTTGATTGTTAATGGAACATTCCAAACAGTAGGTCTTATTGAGTTATTGAAATAAAAAAAAAAGGGCAATTAGAGATTCCTTGCACACATGCATTCTAAACTCGAGAAAAAAAACTTCAGCGCAAGGTCTTTTGCAACAACAATGACTGAATATTGCTGTTCTATATTAAATCCAATAATCGTTCAAACACAAAAGCTAAATCACTAACGGATATAAGGGGAAGAGAATGGCAATTTGCCTCCAATCCAGATCCAAGACTCTCTGTTTCAACTGAATAGAAAAATAAAAGGGGAAAAAAAAAAAAAGATAAGCCCAAGCTTTTTGCATTCCCTCCCGAAGTTTTAAGCATATCCTCAATCCTTGCATTGAATCTCTTTTTATTTTCAAAACTTAGATGTAGCCATTTTCGACACAGCACATCAACATGACATGTGAGTATAACATTGTATTAATGGTTTAGAATTGAATCTAAATAGGTTAGTGTAAAAAACAGACCAAGCCATTTAACCTGAATGATAAACATGTTGGGTCGTTTGACAAATCTGATTTTCGTACCAAAAAAAAAAAAAAAAACATGTCACTTAAACGTCGCAAACTAATTTTGACACGAGCACAAATAACCAAAATACAACTTTATTAAAATATAGATATAAAAGAGAAAAAAATCAGCCAAATTCTTAACACCAATTCTTATCTTGCTTAGATAACTGTAATCATGATTAATATATTAATGGTTTAAAATTTGTTCACTTCTTGAAAAGTTAAATATGCTTGTGGTATCAAATGCATCAATTCCCGAGACCACAAACCCCATTTTGCTCGAATAGAGTAATTTATCCATAGACACTCAACAAGAATTTCAGAAAAGCAGAAATTAATAGCTTTATGGAACATTTAAGATCCGAGAGTACGAAAAAAGGTCTTAGCAATTAAGACACAAACAGAAAAACAAACCAAGTGGTCAGAAATCTTACAGTGCTGCCAAGTGTTTCCAGCGAGATCCTCAGCCTTCTTTGTCGCTTCTCCCACCTTCGTCCCCCATCTCCCTAGCACATCTCGTACACTATACATCGTATCTGATCAATACAACACCCAAAAAAAAAAAAAAACCCAAAGTTCTCAATACCCATTTATGTGTTTGTGATCTTCAACAATATTGCCTTGAAAACACCCAACACCTTTCCTCTGTTTGTGTGTGTGTGAGTGAGAGAGAGAGATCTCAAATTCATTATGCTCGAAGGAGGCCTAATCTTGTTTTCCCAAAAAAAAAAAACAAAACCTAATCTCAAATTCAAGCAAATCCAAATAGATCCTAATAGGTTTGAGGCTTAGAGCAAACCACAGAAATCTCAATTTCATTTATGCTCAAAGGAGGCCTCATATTGATCTCAATTCAAGCAAATTAAAGAGATCCTATATATATATATAAGATTGGCTCACTCTTGAAGTTGAAGGAGGACGATGCTGAATCGGACGGCGCAGGAGCATAGGCAACGTACGGATTCGATCGATCATCTTGAGGCATGGGTGTTTGAGAAGGAGATTCCATCACCAATTCCTCACTCCACCGCACCGATTTCTTCGATCGATTCGGCGATTTATAACTCTCTTCTCTCTCATCAGAATATATATCTGCCAATTGCTCTCCATTCGATCCATCACCACGGACCTCCACTTTCGGATCCGGTTTCGGATTCGGATCCTGGCCCGAACTCCCCGAGCTCCTTTGATCCGCCTCAGTTTTCCTCTCTCCTCCGCCGTCTGGTTGTTCCATCATCTTCCTCAACTAATTTACAACGACAACAGTTGTGATTGTATAGTTTCAAATGCAGAGGCTATGAGCAATTTGACACGGTAGCTTGTGGGGTGGCGCGTGGGGGGTGATTGGAGATTTTTCTGACTGGTTTTAACGATTTGGATGTTGATGTGTTCTCTCAAAAATGGCGGTTTTTATTGAATGGACGAAGGGAACAAAAATGGCGGTCGAGTTCGGACCACTGGTTCGCAGGAAATATGGGGTGGCATTGACCGAGGAGTTTCGATCCCCTGCGCTTGTTCGTTTTGCTTTTCTGTACACATGAGAGCTCTGGTGGTTAGGTGTGAGGACAACGTCTGGGTTAGACTTTAGATTAATGCTACGTTAGTCACGTAATTCTTCTAGAAACTTCTAACTTTCCGCACTCCGCACGTAAATTTGAACTCTGATAACAAATTTTGTGGTAACTGCACTCGTATTTTATAAAATTTGTGAATTTAATTTTTTAATTTATGAATTTAATTAATTTATACTCTTACTTACTTATTATATACTTATTTATTATTACTCAAATCTTTATATGAAAAATATTGGCTCATGCTTAAAGATATATATCTAACTAGAATAGTATTTATAAACTATAATTACTATTTTAGGACTTTATAATTAATATATATTAAAAAAAATTAAATAGTTTGTCTTATAGTTGTGTATAAAATTTTAATTTTTTTATATTTTAGTTATATTAAATTTTAAGGGTGAATGTATATCTATATGCATATAATATGACACTTTTAAGACGTTTATATTCTAATTTTTTTTTTGAAAGTTGACGCTTTTGCCCTCCCGCTTTATGTGATCTAAAATGTTATTTAAACTTAATTTATTAACCTAATTAATCCCAACCATTAGATTGACATTAGACCCTATTATTTGTTGAGACACATAACCAATCTAATAATTTTGATGGATCACGTTAACAAATTAAATCCAAGTAACATTACTATACGGTTTATGTGAATGTGACAATTATATNAATCTAATAATTTTGATGGATCACGTTAACAAATTAAATCCAAGTAACATTACTATAAGATTTATGTGAACGTGACAATTATACTGTATGCTCTATCGTTTTATTTCAAAGTTTGTGTAAAGGAGTAATCTTGAAACTTAAAGATATATGAGTGTATGTCGAGTATTTAGATGATAATAATATAGATATCTAAGATGGAAATGTACTTGAGTTCATTGCCCGTAACCAAATAATATGATCTTCTACAATTCATCAACGGCAGCCTCTTAGTTGAAAGTAAACTTTATGATATTACATGATAGGGTAATACTTTCTTCTTTGCTTCATGACATATCTTTCTTCATCCCAACAGCAGCTTTTGAATCTTCTCAAGGAAGCTCATTATGATCTTCAAACCTTCTTCATCTAAAGAAAAAAAAAAGATAGAACCCAAAGAGAGTATGAATAATTCTTGCATGGGATCGTTTAGGATATCAGAAAGTCATTTTTTTTACCGTACATATCACATTTACGATTCAATTTGACTAAGTTATACTTGAAGAAAGTCAATTTATTGGGTTATAACATTACATCATTAGGTCATAATTTGTCTCCATCACCCGGCCGGTGAGAGCGAGAAGTTTGTGATATGTTTTTCTTTCATCAATCTTCTAAATCTATGTCATATATAAATAGATTATGATTTCGAGGGTCATCTATTACAAAAAGATTTTCCTCTGAGTGAATATGTAGAATTACACTATAAAATTATTTGGTAGGATCCAAAATAGAAACCATAGATTTTTTCCACTTGAATTATTCACTTTCTATTAAAAATCCACAAAAAAAGAAAAAGAAAAAGAAAAAAAAGAGTGCATTTTAAAATTCACAAAGAAGGGAACCAAGCCAATTATCAGGTTACCTAAATGAGGTACACCATGACCTTCATGATGATATATCACTGTAGGATCCACAAATGCTTCCAAGAGTTCAAGCCCATTTTCCTTTGCGAAGTCATGCTCTCCTATTTGGGAAGAAAGCTCGTGAAAAATTAAACATTTTTAAAAAGAAAACAAAGAAGATAAGAGAAAAAAAAAAAGAGAGAGACATAATACTTTATTATATTATTATCTACTCGACCCTCATATTTTTCACATTAAACATACGAAATTTGTTTTTGGTTTTAAACTACCTATAAAGTGAGGTGATGAGATCTCAATGGGTGAAGAAAAGGCATTTTTAGCCAGCTCTGGTGAAGAAAAGACTGACCCTCCAAATTTACCCCCCTGAAATTACGATCACAAATTTTATTTTTGGAACTTTGGTTAGAGCCACACCCTGCAAACAAAAACATTCTTGGGTCAGTTTGAAAATTTAATATTAACGTGTGTAACGGCAGCCACCGTTGACTTAAATTGGGTTAGAGCATGTTCCTGAAAAAAACAGGGGTGACTAACCCTTCGAGGATGTGAGAAATGATTGAATTTGGAACCTTTAAATTAACAAAGATCAAACTCAATCATTAAACACCTCTACAAGTTAAGATTATATACTATTTGATAACAACCACCAAAAACATCATATGTCACGTACCTCACTTTGCATTCCTGGTGATTCTGCTGCTATTAGCACTCCCTTTTATTGAAAAATGACATAAATATATAGTAGAAAATGAAATTAGTTGACACATTATATATATAAAAGAACAAATTATATTTTGAATCCTTTACCAATGTTTTATGTTCCAATTGTCCATCTATTTGTCATATTTCCCACATTATATCTCCAATTATAGTTATGTTTTTTACTTCACGCCATCAATTTTGACGTTTTTCACATTGTTCTTACAGCTATGATTATTAGTTTTACATTACAGGAATTATAGGCATTAGAAATGTGTTGCTTTATCGCGTACACATGGATATTTTTTGTCCAAAACACATCATGTAATTAGTTTTGGGGCAATGTCAAACGAATTGAAGTAGTTGATAGAATAACAAGAGAAACTCAGTAGATAAGAACACAAAATAAGGTTGGAATCTAGTTTAAAAATTTGCTTGATCCAATACTAGCAAAATTAAATGATAAATCATTTAGTTTTAAAATAAATCTAACAATACTATAACAAAAAATATACAATAAAACTTGTATGTTTATTTTTCGCAACGTTTTCATTGTTTACACTAATTCGATTAATTTATTATTCACATTAATTGGTCGTATCATATTCGAACTCGTGCCATGCTCCTAGTAATGAATAAAATTAACAGATCTACTGCAAATAAGTAATTTTTCTTTCCTTTCCAAAATGTGTTACCTGAGAGACGCCTAGCATACCGTCAAATGGTCCCTGCTTTAGCATGTTATCTTCGATGTATGCCATGCATTCATCAAACTTCCAGAACTCCGAGAAATCCTACAAAAAGCCTCACTCACTACAATCATCCTTCACAAGTACATGATGTAAATAGTTGTTATAAAATACTAAAAATCATTTGATAATTTAAATGTCATAACCTGTGCCCAAGATTTTTTGCCTATAGTAGCGTCTGAGAGAGAGGTAAGTGATGGTCGGTGAGCTGTTGGGCTAGCCTCAATCAGGCGATGACACAGTGTCCCGAAAAATGGCACAGGTCAGTAGGCTTTAGTCATGATAGAATGGTGAGGCAATAGACCAGTGGATCCGATGACACCTCAAATAAGCCATAAGAGTGAACTCAGGAAACAAGATCAGGTCAGGAGGTCAAATAGAATACTAGGACCTCAGAAGTCCAGGGCAGAGCTCTCCTTGGGGAGATGATAGCGGGATAAACCAATCAAGATTTTTTCCTAAAATCAAGGAGAATCCCACTAATAGGCAGAGATCTCGGCTGAGATCCGATAGAATGGGGAATATTCCTATAAATACTATGTAACGCCTCCGTAGAGAGGAGGAAAAAAACAAACTCTAATTTCGAGATATACCGAATTGTAATACATTAGAGTGGTAAACAGAAGAGAGGGAGCAAGAGCCTCCATTAAAAAAGTGGACTAGCCGAACTCCTGAGCCGATGAACCATTATATTTTCACTGTGTACACCCCTTAAATCCCCTTAGCATTACATTCCAGCATCACGCACGAGCTTTGTAACTCTGATCCACGATCATCACACGTTTAGCTCACCCACGTTGATTCACACCATCAAGATCCTTAGCAGAGCAAGATAAGGAAAGTGCTGAAATACGGGCTCTTGATAGAGGAAATGTGATGTCTTGTTAGAGCGGTTCAAAAAATCTTAGTTTTAAGAAGAGTTGATTCAAGGTGATTGGACACTTTGTTTGTAAAGAATTGCCGATTATAATCAAGGAAGAGTTAAGTTCGTTGTGATTTATGTAAGAGAGATTGTATGGTATTGCATGTATAGGAATCTCACGCCGAATAGAGAAAGAAGTGAACGCGTCCTATTATTTTATATCTAGACATTTAAATTTTTAGTTTGGTATAGGTTTCAGACATATATTTATATAATAAAATAGTTTACAATTCATATTTTGAAATTATTATGAATAATCTATACATAGATATAATTTTTATTTTTATTTTGGCACAAAAAACCAAAAAATCTAAAAAGTCAATTCAAATGGATTTTTACAATTTTTTCAGGTTTTTAAAGAACACCCTAAACTGTTTTGAAGAATTTTTTTAAATCTAATTTTTTTGGCAAAACTATATAAACCATAGTTTTTCGCAAAAAAAAATAAATAAATAAACTGGCGTAACCTTATCCATGTTTTGAATGTGTGGAAATCACAATATGCAAGTTGGTCCTTATGACATTCATGGTCCTGCAAGTCTTGAACAGACAATGAAGTCTGACCCAGCTCCAGCTCGAGAGAGAGAGAGAAAGGGAGAGAGACAGTACATAAATGGAAAAATTGAATGGTTCCTATGCACTTATCCAAAAAGCATGAGTTTGGAGACGAATTTATGCGTGTCTTAATTAATTTTTTTTTGTGGTTAGATTAAAAATAGGTTTGCCAGAATTAAGAAAATTTATAAAAGATAAATTTTTCATGACTTAACTGTAAAAAATTACTAAAATTCAAACTCGAAATATTAAAATGCCGAAAAACTCGTTAGAATGCCTCTTAGGCTTAACATTCTCTCATTGTGATTGCTGATCAGGTGAGTGCTCTTCTTAGCTTGACAATCTCCAGCTCAAACAATGTTTTATTAAACTGAGTTGATTCATTAGGAATGACCTCATCTATTGTAGTGTTACTTTTAGCTTACCAGATGTAATCCCTACAATGCGCTTGTGTTGAACCAAAAACTATTCCCTTCAAGTACCTTCCAATTGAAGGAC